ACACATCTAGAGTCTTCAAGGCTGTGGAAATGACACATATGCACATATGTCTAGGGTTTGTTTTCTAAAGCATAAAAAAAAGGAGAAGGGTGAAAAACACAGGTCTGTCTTCAGTGTTACAGTCTGCATTGTTGGAAGTGGGTTTTTTTCTCAGCCCGCTGTTTTGGTGGGGGGATTCCACTTTGGGGTGCTGATCCTCCCTGCACCTGCATGCAGGGAGCCCAGGGGGCACCTTGGGTTCAGTGTGGATGTGCCTGCTCCCCAGAAGCAGCCTGTGCTCCTGCCTGTGCTTTTGTGTGGAACTGGCCTTTACTAGCTTCCAGGCTAATGGGTTTATATAGTGCTTAGACTCAGAAATGATTTTCAAACAGGTATGTGCAGACACAGGAAATGGGTTTTTAAGGGCAGAAGGTTTTTGTGCACAGAGGTCCTAACCCCTGATGTTCCAGCATGCCTGACTTTCACCTAGAGAACCCCTGTGCATAAATATATCATACACCATATGTACATCAAAAGCCTGTCCAGACTGCAATGGATGCTGCTCCTTTAAATAACTTCTTTTTTCTTGCTCTGTTGGGCACTGCAGCACTGAAGTCATGTTGAGAATATTGCTCTAAGCCTCTTCTAAAAATGAGAGTTAGGCACTCAAGCCATTACTTAGTCATTTCTATACTTCATCACGTAAACTTCACTCAACAGTAACATTTACTTGGTCAGAGTTATGCAGAAGACACAGCAAATTCTCTCTTCCATGGAGGTGATCAGAGTCATCTCTAGTTACCTGCATATTCTCAGTGTGAAACAGAAATCATGTGTAGGGCATGGCATTAGTTACCAAACTGAAGTGGAAGGGTAAGATGGATTTTTTTACTGTACTTGAAAAAGCGAAGACATTAGAAGTGAGGAAGGAGTTAATCGTTGCAAAATACACGGTCATTTCCTGAGCCCTGTGGTTGGATGAGTACAAACTTTCAACTATTTCTAATCCTTCTCTGTCATTTAAGAGGCTTTCAAGGTGCACTGTACATCCCAGATCAGGTAAGCGGTACAGCTTTTCACTTCTTGATTTTTTATTCAAAATTGTTTTTCAGTGGAGCCAGACTCAGTCAAGACTCATTTGTTCTCCCTCCTATTATTTACAACTGAAGGGAGAACAAAGTTCATTGCAATCCAAGAAGTACATGTGTGTCTTTGTGCCAGATGATTGTGAGCTTGTAGAAATAAAGAACGAACTGTATGAGTTAATAATAGAGCAATGATAATGAAGAAGTTATGTTACACAGTCAGAAATCAGAATTACTGTAGCAAATACTGCAGTAGAAGGGAAAGAAAACTCTTACTGCCAGTTTTAAGTTCACTCTGCACAAACCACTAACAAAATAAGGGGTTCTTGGGTGTACAGATTGCTTTAGTAAGGAGAGTAGTAAAAATCATAGCATGTCTCCAACTGTATTTTTAAAAGGAGGAAGAATGAGCTTCTACATATTGGGGGAGAAAAAAAAAAAAGATCGTTTTGAACCATTTTTATTTGTAAATCTGGACTTGATATTTATCTTTAGCTATTGCAGAGTCACGTATTGTAGTCATCCTGAGATTGTTCCTGAGGTTTGCAGCAACCAAACATACACACAGAAGTGACTGTGGAACCATATCATAAAATGATATCATTTCATCGGGGTCTTTTGATGCATAAAAACTGAGCTCAGACAGACAGGCACCAGAAGGAAGTCTCGTAACAAAGTGCACTCTTGCATACTGCATTTCTTGTTTCTTAATAGACAGGGAGAGAGACTCTTTGCATGAAGGCTTTTTTTAATAGTTCAGAAAGAAGCATAAAATAGACATCTGTAGGGCAGTTATTGTAATAATGTGCTGTCACCAAGCTGACCTACAGAAAGTGAAATTGTATGTGCCACGAGGATCCCTGGATGAAGTCATACACTGGAGATTCAGGGTTTTGGCATTTGTTTGGTTTTCAGTCTTTGCTTGTAATCAGTTTTAATGTTTGGACACTGGCTCCTTGACTGTGCTCAGCATTTTGTATAAACACTTGCTGTATTTTATACATAGCGGTCAGGAGAATCTAGCTACGGTTTTCAAAAGCACTCATTTGATTCAGACAACATAAGTCCCATCAGTGTTTGGACTTCATTCCTAAATCACCTCCACCTTACTTGTGAAATCGCTACTAGGGTAGCGCTCGGACCTCTGCAATGAGTTTCACCCTGAAAAGACTCCATGAGCCACAGAAGTTTTGTCACTGTCATCTATGGATGGGGAACTCGGATGGATCTCAGTTGATGTTAAACTTATGCCCTGGTTTTTGCAGCTCCCCACCGCAGGTGATCTGATCAAGAATTCTTGGTTTTCCCTTGCAAACAGTTGTACGTCAGTTCAGACACAGCTGGAGAACATGCCACCGTTCTGCTAGGGAAGAGGCTGTGGCATGGGTAGAAGCATTTACATCAGCCTTAGTCTTCTCAGTTTGAGTATTGATGCTAGGAAATGCTGTTCCTTACAGCTCTGTATGGCCTTAACAGCTAAACCCTTGCAGCCTATGTTACAGCTTGCTAGATGAAAGCTGGCTAAAATGCACCTACCCATCCTGCAGTCACTTTCCCCAGTTACTGCATAGGCACAACTCAAGGGAATCTACTCATCAGCTTTGTGTGGGAAGAGCAAACTGAACCCAGGCCTCCTCTATTGACAATGAGCAGTTTACCCACTGCTTCTGCCTTCAGTTTTTAGCAACCCTTCAGGTACATTTATTGAAAATGTGCATGTATCTTGTGTCTTTCACGGGGGTTTCAACTCAGATGCATCTGCCTTTGCAGACAATTTTGCTTTCATTGATGACTGGAAGCACAAAAAAGGCCAGCTTATGTGCTTTAAACTGTTCTCAGTGCTCTCTTTCAGCATGAGTATCTTTGGTGTGGGAAATGGGTGTACTCCCCAGCTCTCCGTCGGAGGGAGGCATACATTATATGTAGTGGCATAATAGGATGGAAAACAAAAAAACCCTAGAAAAGCCGTTCCTTGTATGGTAAATGCGGTCTTCTCCAGTAGCTGCTGTGTTCTGGTCCAGTGGCTAGAGGGTAAAAACCCAGCAGCCCACAACCCAGCCTCAGGAAGTTATCCTGTGGTGGGATCTCCCTGTCCTGCTCAAAAATGAAGACATACTAAGACTATTTCTCAATGTGTTAAACATTGATATAGTGGTGTTTTGCTCACGTATTGCTGCCTGACAACTGTACTTCATATTTGCATAGTTAAAAAAAAAAAAAAAAAAAAGTTGTATTGAAGCGAAAGTCCAGGGGGCTTCACTTCTGACAACTAATGCTTGCAAAGTCTCCAAATAGATAGAAGGATGTTTATTGTATCAAGCATATTTATTGACACTGTTCTCATGTTTTTCACAGAGTGCAAAATGAGCTTGAAAATGGAGCTCTCCTCTGAAAAATTACTTTATAGAAATAGAAGCGTTTGGCCCTTGACTACTGCCTCAAAAATTCCTGGATGAAACGAGGTCATTTTATAAGAAAATGTCCTTGAGACTGTTTGGGCTTGTTTACTCTTACTGCCAGCTCTTGAATGGGAAGGTCAAGTTGGTGTTCCTTCTGGGCTTACTAATTATATGCATGAAACCTGAGAGTGACTCTTAGCCGGAGAGTTAGGGTTGTAACTTTAAAATCGGTTTAAAGTGGGTAATATAATCAAATTTTTGTCTAAATTTAGGTGCTAATCAATGAGAAATATCCCGCAGGGTTCATTCTCTACATCCTTTGAGTTTGGTAGTGTCAGTTTGATCTGGTGTCTTTTCGTATATTTTTGATCGGAAGCTTTCCATACTTACTGAAATTTTCCATTGGTTGTCTTATTTTTCAGTGTTGTTGAGTAATTAACTAAAGCTAAATACTTAGAGAAAGAGAGAGATAGATCTGTACACGCTTCATGCAACAGCTCAATTTTTTAAAATGCTAGATTGTAGCTCTCATAGATACCGTAACAGAGAGATTCTGCCTTTTTGTACATAGACTGATGAGGGCCCAAAAGTTGGCTGGGGCAAGGCATCTATAAGCTTGTTCACCAAGAGCTGCTCGTTTTTGTCACATTTTCACACTACTGCATGAGGAATTCAGGCTCAGCAGCTGATGAATTGAAAATAATTTTACCCTCACATCCTTATTCTCTCAACTGCTGTTTAAGTCTTGAAATAACAGAAATTATGCACTGGTACAGTCATGATGAAGCAACTAGTGTTACTTACTACCAGATACACTGTACCTGATTCAGATCTGCAAAAACAAGAAGGAAAAATACCAAGTCACCAAAAAGAATGTGCTCTTTTATCTTCTCTTAATCTTCAGATGTGGATATTATGCATCTTTAGTAATCCTGCAAAGGTACATTTTATAGCTAGTGAACTCTGATTTAAAGCTTTGAAAGGTAGTATTACCAGTGCTTGTCACTGTTCGGCATTATCTTTAGATGTGCTCCTTTTAAAAAATCTTTTTTTGTAACAACTGATTCTTAAAATATTTTTTTTTCTTTGGTCCCTTCTGCATCTCTTACTCATAGAGGAAATCTGATCTGCTGCAGCACGGAAACATCAGTGATGACCATGGCGAGACAAATTCCTTAGGGAGCTGCCTGTAAGTCTGATCAACATTTAAGATGAAAAGTTTTGCATTTTCTTTGGCAGGATGTTACACACAGAGTTTATCTGTATGAGGCAATTGCTGAGGCAATAAGGGAATATTCAGGAGCACAAGCCTCTGCTTCGAGTAGGTGAATAAGCACAAAGAAAGGAATCATCTTGTAAAGACTTTTTTTTTTTTTTCCCCTCCACAACTTCTTAAAAATATGATCAGTCTTTGAGACTCTCTAAATCATGCCTAATTGAAAACCTGTTCTCCCAGGATGATGATTACAGCAAGTAGACCCCCCTTCTGGGATACAGTGGTTCAGCAGCGGAAGGCTGGGAGAATAAGCATTTTGTACTTTTGTTACTTCACTGTGTGACAGTCAAGCAGTGCAGCGATCAATAGAAAATCCTTCTGGAGCACAGGGGGTGGTGACATGTAGGGTTGGAAAGTGTGGATAAGCAGAAACAGAAATGGTGAGGGAAAGAAAAAAAAGAGGAAAAGTGGTAGTATGAAATCAAGGGAGGCAAGGACAGAGGGCAGTGTCTGGACAGCAGTTAACAGGAGAAAGACAGACTTTGGGTTACCCGCTACATGATGATGTAAGTGGGCTTGCAGAGGACATCAAGGCATGATGCTTTCAGCTCTTTTTCTCAAATACTCTGGAGAAAAACCTGAAATATCCAGGTCTCAGTAACCTATAAATCTTCAAAGCAAAGTAGGTTTGTCTGCACCCTCTAGTGGTCTCGACAGAAAAGACATTTTTACCCAACTAATTTTGCACTAGATCTATTTGTGGGAACCAGTCATACCCTGGTCTTTAGCTTGTCTGACACATCTGTAATAATTGTTCTCAGCCTCTGAAATAGGATGGCTACATCCAAGCACCTTTCTAGGAATGGACTTTGGTCTATGATAACTCCTAAACTACACGAGGTGGTTGTGTGGGACCCAGAGTTTAAGGGAGCATTAGTTGGTGTGAAATAAAACTGTTCCAGAATTGTAACAGCCCGAGGAACTGAATTTGATGGCCTGAGCCCAAGTTCTGACAGCATTTATTTTACTAATATTAACATACCCTTCATGTAGTAACATCTCCCTTGTGCACCTGGTATAGTCCTCAGTCTCCTAAGTATAAATATTACAGAAGAATACTTCAGTACAAAAAATCAATCAACAGCTCATTCAAGAAGGAAACCATTGCCTGTGTCCTTGATCAGTTCTCATATGCCTGCTGCTGAAGGACACATCTAACTGAGGTAGGACTGCAGGAAAAGGCAAAGTAGCCTTGTGATTTTAGTGACTGAATGATGTCCTGGAAAATGAGATCCTGCCACTGATTCTGCCTGAAATTCTTGTGTGATGCTGAGAAAAGGGCACCTCCATAAGAAAAGGCTACAAGATAAATGCCTGAAATGGAGCTGGGTGGAACTTCAGAGCTCCAATTGAGGACAATTCTTACAGAGCCTCTGACTACTGGGGAATTATATTCTAGTAGTTGCTTCTCATAACATAAGATAGCAGTACTTAGGATAGCAGTACTTAAGATACTTAAGGACAAATAGAGAGCAGATAACCATTTACAATTATAGAGCAATTAGATTTTGACAGGACTGAGAGAGCTGGCCTGGTGCCAGTAAGGAGCATGCTTAAATCAAGTCAGTAACACTGTTTCTTCTTTAGAAATACAAGTACTTTCTTTTCAGACACAGTTGAGGAGTAGGAAACAGTGTAACTCCTCCTCTAGAGCACTCTCCTAGGAGAAAGAGCATGCACATTCAACACTCTCTTTGGAAAGTATTTAAAGACTTATCCACCTCTTTCCTTGCTAGCTAGAAAGCACACTAGCTGTCACAGTCTGGGCTGATTTGCATCTGGCCAGCTGAAGCTGGAAGAGCAAGCAGTGGTCACTGGACTAAAGAGGAGCAGATGCCTGAAATATTGTTCAGCTAGAAGGCAAAAGACCTCATCTCTAGTCCATCTTCAAAGACACTGTTTCACATTAAGTAGTCACTGGATAACCTCAAAGGCCAGTCTAAAGAGTAGATACAAGGCCATGCCCACTACCTTACAGTTGATGACTGCCCCTGTCACTAGGCTAGAGAATCTCTTGCCCTCCTGCAGTGTGTTTTCATCTTTCCCTGAGTTGTCATACCTATAACTTTTTTATTGCACATCTTTGATGTGAAATATGGGTGGTGCCCAACAGCTCTGTGGTTAAAACAATCTTCTGCTCAGATAATAAGTCCCCTGGTCAGACTTGGGAGGCAACTTGAGACATCAATTTCCTGACCTTAACCACTAGTCTATCATTTAAACAGGGAAGGGAAGTGTTTCTCTTCTATCAACCATCTTAAAAGATTGTAGCAAATCATATTCAGTCCTCAGAAAGAAAAGGCAACAGGGAATTTTCATAAAGGGAATCTTCACAAACTGGTTCAAGGTTCAAGTCTCTGAGTAGTTCTTCTGTGAGAGAGAGGATGTTCTGTGAGACTCATTAAGATTTTTTTTTCCCAAGTTTTCATGTTTCCAAGGCTCATCCATAGTCTCTTCCAGATAACCTATGTGTGTGGCACGTGAAGAGCACTGACATTGCACTGTTCCTCATAATTTTGCTGATCCTCTTCTGAGACACCTATGTCTTCGCTGGAGCCTTAATCCTTCCACTCATGTGGTGTTTATCTTACAGAGTCTGAAATCCTGTTTCAGATCTGGCTTCAAGGGGTTAAGCTTTCAGAAACAAGCACTAACTCTGAGTTCCTCATTTTCAAATGCTTATTAAAAGACACCTGGGTCTGACTTGCAGAAGTATTGAGTACTCACAGATCCAGATATAGTCAATAGAAATGTGGCCTTGAAACAGTAACATTTTATGTAATGCCAAAAACTCTTAGAAATCAGGTTCTAGGCAACTCAGGGCCTCCATTCCTCACTTTTCTGCTTGCAATATGGAGTTAAATAATCTTCATATTAAAGGAGGCAGCAAAGAAGAAATTTGCAGGTCTTTTTGAAGTACTTTGATGATACAGAACTGGATGCCACAGAAATGCCCTTAAATAAATTATTTATTTGATGTTGAGGACAAAAGTTTGAACAGTGCACTGTACATATGGAATAGTGTCACTCATTGAACAATGAAGAGAAAAAAGTCTAAATCCTTCTGATGGCGTATTTTGTCTTTGAAAAATTGCTGGGTGGGTACTGGTTCCAACAAAGATCAAATGGAAATGGTCAGGCCAGACTTGTCCATTTTCTTGGCAGCTGGGTTGGCTGGCTCTCTTCAGCTTGTTGACTTCCAGCTTTTCACTAGTAGGACCATTAAACTGTAAAGCAATCAGGGGAACCTGGTGATGCAATTCTGGCTCCCAGGCTCTTCAGTTGTTTATTTGTCCAGGCTTATAAAGCAGCAAACTTCTGAGATATACAAGCATTGTGAGTATCTTGACAAGGGAGGAAAAGAAAACATTTTCATAAAGGACACCCTCTCAATCCTAGGTCTCTGCAAAACTGACAATCTCAGTTGCACAGTGCTTGTGGTCATTAGCAATACACAGTCAAAAAGTTTGCAGCTAACAGAAGTTGGCTGATAGCACAAGACTATGAGACTAAGTTAAGCAGGAGCAAGATGAGGCTCTTAAGGTTAACTAAACACTGCTTTGCACATTGCACTTAACATCTCCTTATCAGCCCAATTCGTGACCTAAATCTGTACATGTTTGTAAAAAAAAAAATATATTTGGAACCCCCTCTTTCACATGAAGACATGCCTTCTCATACACACATTTCTTCTATGGGACATAAAGATATCATTAATACCTGTAAAAGGATGAAGAATGAGGTTTCCTGCTAGGTGTCTGTCTTTCATGATCTCAGTAATTCTCTGCTGTGTAAATACATAACCTTAAAATCTGGTCTTGGTGGATAAAATAGCCTCACAAACTCATGACTGACATATTTCAGGTTCAGCATATGTTAAATGCTTGAGATTTTAAATCATATACACTTATGAAAGCTTTTTTTAGCTTTTGAAATGAAAAGTTTTCCATCAACACTCGTTAGAGAAACTAACAGGACATGGTGCAGTTTTACATGTTATGGTAGGCTGATAGGTTTGCTTGACTTGCACATCTATTCCTGGTAATGTTTGTGGGCTGTCTTACATGACTACATGATTACCCCCAGAGGAGAGAGGCAGAGATCATAACTGATCTGGATATCAGTAACACAGATGGTTGATCTACCCTTGGCTTGAAAATGTTTACACGGAGTGGGGTGGATTCTCAGCACCTCCCAGTTTTTGCTGCTGCAGTATGAACTTTGAAGTCTCTCACAGAAGTGCCTGAGGATCACTTTGTTATACAGGGAACACAGGCATACAGAAAGATTATTCCTATTCCATTTAGCAGTAAGAAAGCAGAGAAAGATAAATTGTACTACAGAAGCATTGGCTTCTTTGGTTGTGCCTACTCTTCTGTTTGCTCTAACTTGTCTTTGGGACCAGTGTAGTCATGAGTGTACAAGGAAAAATAGGTGGTTAGAAATATCTTTGCCTGCTTCTAAAGAGCGTGAGGGAACCTGGGGATTTGACTTCATCACATTTGAAATAAAAACCGTAGAGTTGGAGCTTGACATTGACAAAAATTTTATGGTTCAGACTAGCATGCTACAGGAGCTGTAAATGATTCTCTACCCTCACCTGCCTCAGCTAAGAAAAAAAGGTCTCACCTTCCATATTATCAAGTGCTTAAACTTCTCTAGAAGGAAAGAAAGAAGGAAAGAAGGAAAGAAGGAAAGAAGGAAAGAAAGAAAGAAAGAAAGAAAGAAAGAAAGAAAGAAAGAAAGAAAGAAAGAAAGAAAGAAAGAAAGAAAGAAAGAAAGAAAGAAAAGAAAGAAAGAAAGATTGATTTGTTCATAAAGGACGGTCCAGAAATGCATTAGAAATAAAGTCACACTTCTATATCAGAGATATTTTTGTGTCCGGCTGTGGGCCCAAGAGAGCTGAATGCTAA